CTAAATGACTTACATTTTCCATTCTTGTATTGTAGTATATTTGTGGTTTGGCTGAGAACTGTTGATCCAGTATGTCGCTACAAAAGTCTGGGGTAAGAGATGATGAAGGTTGAAAATACATTCACGTAACATAACCATAGGATTTGGCTGCGCTTTTATAATGGGTGTGTGTGGGGGGGGTGAGCGGCAGGGGAGGGGGAAGTCCAGAAAAATGTCCTTTCTCCACATGTGAAAGACCCCAAATGCAGCAATGCGTGACCTCTCCTCGCTCCTCCCCTCCCCCGAAATGAGTTTTGATCTGTGAGGCGACATGCTAGAGAGTTTCTGCGGCTGGATTCATCTTTCACAATGTCTCCGCGCTTTGCTAATCACCTACTGTAAATGTAATATCCTCAAAGCCACATCACTGGGGTGGGCTCAGTTTGCATAAAGTCCTGTGCTGCAGTACGGGATTAGAGAGAATCTTATAGGAAGGAGGTCATAGTGCGTATACATACTTGGACTATCTTTGCATTCAGAATATAACTGCTCTAGTTATGGCTGTACAGTGAATATACATCTTGAATACTGTTTTTAAAAGTTACATTAGGTAACTTCACATCTTCTTGTCTCCATGGAGATGCTGTTGCTTTGTCTGGAAAGCCCCAGTATGACATTTAACATATCCATCTTGCATTTACTCAATAACATGGGTTTTTATCGACTTAACAGATCAGACATGTAACCTGGTCCTGTGGTGTGTCCATAGAGATGAATAAGAGTAACGTAATAAATGCGAAACAGAAGAAGCAGGTGACGGATTCTCCAAAAGAAAAGTTACACAGTGCACCTTTAAACAGTTTATAGTGGTCCAAAGTTATTCCACACTAAGGCTACGTTTATATGATGATAGTCTGAACAGAAGATGCGAAAGTGGCGCCGCTTCTTCACTTTTTATTCCGCATTTAGACGAGTGTTCTTGGGAGGAAATCTATATGCAATGGTGACGCAAAAGTGTGTGAAATTCGATTGGGTATGCATGCCAGGTGGCGTGATCTGACATGTTTGTTTCTGTGTAATGTATGTATGTGATGTAAACGGGTACACGATGTGAGCAGATCTGACCAGAGGTTTGCGTCTTGAGCAGTGAAGACGGAAACGCTACTGCAGAGTATATTTAACTTTTCCACTCCGGAGGGTGGTTTCAGATTTTTGCGTTTTTAAACCCCAAAAACACCACCACCGTCTAAACGAACGGCACTTCCGATAAAATATGTTGTTGTTTTTACCAACAAGCGTTCTCGTGTAAACAGGCCCTCACCTTATGTATTCTAAGCATCCTAATCATATGCCGCGATTAGTTTATAAGCACAACTTTTAGAGGCCAGAAAAGAGATTGACCACCATGGTAGTGTGAACAACTAGCATGCTAACCACACACATCCAATTTCTCAAACAATAACACTTTATAACTAGACAGTACACAGCTGGACTATTCTGGCCTCAAAGGCTGCTTATATAATATATCTGCACTAGGGAAAGACAACTTTTATGGAATAATATATGGAAACAAAACAGGTACAAGCCTAAACTTTGACTTAATTTTTTTTATATATTATGCAAAACTGACTCATGTGAGCTTTAATCCATGTCATAATGCTGTTACCAAATCAAAAACATACCTGGATTTGTTTTGTTTCATTGACAAATGTTTGAGTAATCTGGCATTAGTACGCTGTCTACATCTCTAAAGCTCAAAATGCTCTGTTCTACTTTGTGATTCCTTTAAATATTGACAAGTTAGTTTTTAGTTAATTGGCCTAAATGAAACTGCTTGCCATGAGGTTGAAGCATTGTGCCAAATAAGAATAAGAAAACAAGAAAAAACTTCAAAATGGTTACCTCCTGTTGTCATAGTCATTGTAAACTTGTGTAAGTCTTCTAGCTTTACAGTTGCTAAACTCCTAACCTCAATCCAGCTCTGCTCTCCATGTATTCAACTTGGCAATAAGAGAAATCTCCTTTATGAGCGCCATATATCACACTTTATTGCTCTACTACACTACATTCATTCATCGCTGTTTCCTTATGTCTGTCTTCGTAGTCAACCAATATGCAAACCCAAGAATAACAAAGTGCACGGTAAATATTTGATAGAACCTCTCCTCCATCTCCACAGGCTCTGCTCTCTTCTTGTGTGGTCAGGTCTGCGGGAATGCCAGGAAGAGCCAAGTCAATAATGCTTTTTTAGCGGCTCCCAAATCTTGTACACAAGCCGCCTGTCCGTGTTCCTGTGGTTTTCCTTTGTAAAGTGGGACGCCCCTTTTCAGCAGATGCACAATGACATAAGAGATTTCACTGGCACAAGTTCCACAGTGGCTCATGAGACTGGGGTCGAGGGGGGCAGGAAGTGGGACAACAAAATAAAGGGTGGTAAGTGGGAGTCTTTAAGACAGGTTATTCATTAAATGAATTGGTAAAGGCTTTTATTAAAGCAGCTTTTAAAACATGATCTGTGAAATTATTTTATTAAAACAATATGAACAGAACCTTTAATAAATGTAATGAAATGAAATACTTTCAGTAATAGTTCTGAACTGATTTGACTATAGGTTCATTCCATGCCAAATGGCCCACACAAAATTCTATGTTCCTGGTGCCTCTGGTGGTGTGTACTTGCATCCTGAGGCTCTGGAGCTGTTTTATTGTCACATATAACATTTCCCCACACTCCGCTTTGATGCCTGGTAATAAGGCAAAGATTGCAGACTTTACCCACACTGGCAGTGCTTTTAAATTCCACAGTGGTCACAGGTTGGTTCAGATGCCATCAGCATGTGCACTTGTACCGTCCCACTCCAGCCTCCAGCAGCGAAGTACAGCCCCACCTAGACACACTCACTTGATCTTAGCACTAAAGACTGGGGGCGAGATCGGGCCCTGCATGTTAAAAATGGAAAAAAATACATTTGGTGCTATCTTTAGCATCTTATACCAAAACATGACAGCACCCACCAACATAAAATGGACTGTTTTAGAAAGATTAGATGTTTTTTTAACATATCTGTAAGCGCCATTTCATAAGGTTTACATATTTGCATATAATTAACAATTCATAATAATTCATTTGTATTTTTGTTTAAAAGGCACTGTAGTATGTTTCGGTACATGATTTATGTTTGATTTAAAAGAAATGGTAAAACAACCGTGCTGCTCCAGTCATCTCTTTTTCTTTTCTCAACGACATCAAGTTGTAAACGCGTAAGACAGGCTCATTAATCATCCTTCTTGTGAAGAGGTTAAATTAGTAGCAAGGAGAAAACGAGTCAAAGATTAGCCTCTACAATATACAAAATTTGTGATGGTGTTCTGCCTTATTTTTGCAAAATGGATTTTTGAAAATGTGGTGTCTGCATACATGCAGAGCATTCATGGACTATGAAGGCACTTTCAAAAGCTAAGAAAACAATATTTGACACACAGCTTAAACTCAACAAAATGTTTTTATTTGATTCCTCAACTATTGTAAATTATCTAAACTCATTGAGGAAACCAACTGATGTGCTGGTGTGACTCTCCTGAATTGTATATAAGCATCCTGTTGTAGTGCTAGGAACATCTATTTTAGAAGTGATGTGTGCTGTAAAGGTGCCCGGCAACAGTCTATGGAAGCCCTGTGCTGCAAGTGTAAATGGTCACATTTTTCTATAGTGCTTTTCCACCTCCAAGGCACTCAAAGTGCTTTACAAGAAGGAACCACTCACCCATTCACACACCAGTGTACGCAGACACTGTGGGCAAGGTGGGTTAAGTGTCTTGCCCAAGGACACAACAACAGCATTCATCTGTGGGAGCTGGAATCACATCAGCCAACCTGTGAGTCAATGGATCTGACCACTCAACCTGTGATGTTGCTGTGATGACTCAACCTGCCACCCTATATAGGATAGGATAGGATGTAAACAAAAATTATAATAAAATAATATATATATTTTTGGGCATATTATCTTGTTATTTCAAGATATTATCTCATTATTTTGAGATATTCCATGAATGTAAAAAAAAAAAAAATCCTTAAAATTTATTTTTGTTTGTTTTTTTGAGATATTATCTTGAAATAACAAGATCATATCTTTAAAAAAAAATAAATAAGAAAAATATTAATATTATTAATATAAGTATTAATACAATAGTTAGTTAGTAGTTGGGTTTTTTTTTTCTGTTTTTTTTTATTTACACTTGCAGCACAGGGCTTCCGTAGACTGTTGCTGGGCACCTTTACAACACAAAATTTCTAAAATAGATGTTCCTGGCACTACAACAGGACGTCTATATACAATTCAGGAGTGTCACACCAAAACATCTGTTGGTTTCCTCAAAGAGATTAGATAATTTACATTAGTTAAGTAATCAAATCAAGCATTTTGTTGAGTTTAAGCTGTGTGTCAAATATTCAGAGTGTTTTCTTAGCTTCTGAAAGTGCCTTCATAGGCCATGAATGCTCTGCATGTATGCGGACACCACATTTTCTTCACAGACGGTCAGTTTTCATCACAGAGGGTCAATTTTAAAATACAAAGTCCACAGTGGCATGTGTGGGAAGGTGTATGTTCAATATGAAAGTTCTGTCTTTGAAATTGCACTTTCCACAGTCCTTCAAAGATGCCCTGATATTTGAAGAGTAAATTTTTCTAACAAATTCAGGCCCCCAGAAATCTGTGATAAACCAAAAAGCACAGTCCAGATTCTACAAGTACATTTGGCAAATTTTAACCCATGAAAATTTGAAGGACTTACCTTAAATAGTTTTTTAGATACAGCAATCTGAAAGTGGCTCCTCGGAAAACTCTGCTCAAAACGGGTCAGGGGGGAGTTGACAAAATATTTTTTAATGACAAAACTATAAGGGGTTGGGAGCTAAAATTTTGAACTTTTGCTATTGGAAAGTTTGTGAACCTCCTAGAATTTTTTCAGTCAAATCTGAGATGGTTGTGCGGGGACATTCGGAGATTTGGCGTGGAATGGCCCTAGTCAGGAGGACCAGTAGAGCCACATTTTGGATGAATCTACAAACTCACTGCAACATCTGTGTACAGGTTGCAGCCACACTCAACAACCTGGCCGTGCTGTATGGAAAACGTGGCAAATACAGAGAAGCTGAGCCTCTGTGTAAGAGAGCTCTGGAGATCCGTGAGAAGGTGAGCGGTTCTGTGCAAGTCATTGGTCTGAGTCCTCCTCAGGACCATGGGGGAAACTGGCTTTGGTTCTGGTTCTCAGGTGCTGGGGGCAGATCATCCAGATGTGGCCAAGCAGCTCAACAACCTGGCCCTGCTATGTCAGAACCAGGGCAAGTACGCTGAGGTGGAACAGTACTACCAGCGCGCCCTCCACATCTACCAGAGCCACAGGGACCCCAATGACAGCAATGTGGCCAAGACCAAGAACAACCTGGTCAGTATTGTGGTCAATCAGGTGGTCAGTGGTCAGTGTGGTGTAGTGTGTAGGGCTGCAGCGATTATTCAACTAATCATGACTAGTCCACTATAAAAAATGAGTGACATATTTTAATAATAATAATGTGTGTGTATTGTATGTGGTGATGTAGTGTTTGTGTTCTGCAGGCCTCGTGTTACCTCAAACAGGGCAAATACCGGCAGGCTGAGGCACTCTACAAAGAGATCCTGAGCCACGCCCACGCCAAGGAGGGCTCCACTGTGGAAGGTCTGTTCCTTCATAGTACATAAGAATATATCATAATCATATATTGTCTCACAGTGAGGATTGATTTTCATTTAAAAGCCCTGGGCTTAAGATAGGTTTGTGCAATCAATATAAAAAGAGCTAAAGTACATCTAGTCCGCACTCACCCATCCTCCTGGAGGAGGTAATAAATTTTAAATTTCAGAGACTATCTGTGTCCCCACATATGAACTGAATATGTCAAATATGTATGTGTAAATCAAATATAGCTTTTATTGATAACTATTGTGATGGTGATTTATTTTTACTTACTTAATCATTGGGCATGATGTCCCATTTATTTATTCTATAATTTGGTGTTTTGGTTCATCATTATCCAATCAGAAAGCTGAATGAGCCTCACATGAGTCTCAGTTTTGTGGTTACCAGTTTCAACCCAGAAAAAAGTTGGTTTAAACTTAAGAGGCTGCAGTTAGTTCTGCAATGTCCTCTGCAGAGATTTGTCCCCACATGTCCCTGTGTCTTCACTGGGGGTGTTATATCTCACATCAGAGCATGCATGTGGAGAATGGAAATGTAATGTAATTACTGGTTTAGTGATTCAGATTAGTCTTCTACTGTTTAAAGGAACAAGATGTAGCTCTTACAGTTTAATGGTACTAATGTCAAAACTGAGCATTCCCAGTTCCTTAACATCCAAGTGTGTCTCATTCTCAGTATATGAACAGGCTATGCCTCATGTGAAAGCTCAGAACCTCCCGAATTCCATCTAGAATGAGCATAGTTCAAAGAAATATGTTCAGAAAAAGTTCTAGCGGCAAATTTGGAAAAGTCAGTAAACGTGCTGTTTCCCATAATTTGAGGGTGCTGATTCCAAATATTTTGTTTACCAAGCTGAATTTTGAGTTTTAAGAATGCTAATTCACATAATAGCATAGACGCCAGACTAATCAAATTAAAGTTATTTTAACTGAATGCATTTCATAAAAGTCCACAAAACAAATACCAGTATACTGTAAATATATCAGGTAAATCAGGGTCAAGTCACCACATGACCCCTAATTAGCATACTGAAATAAAAACAAGGCTATACTGCAGCTTTTTAAAGCTAGTGTCCTTCATTTCCTTCATTTGATGAGCAGAAAAGAAACAAATTCCTATTTCAGATTTCTACTAGATTTGGAATTTAGGTGACTGCTTTCCTGGAAGTCATTTATCTCTGTTTGCTATCGACAGCTTTCATTCTTTATTGAGAATATAGGCCACTGTTATGTTTTATATCACAACATTTCAGTAAATGTTACTGAGGGGGTGAGGTAGGTTTAAGTGTCTTGCCCAAGGACACGACAGCATTCACCTGTGGGAGGTGAAATCGCACCACCAACCTGTGGGTCAATGGATCTGATCTCTCTACCAATGATGTTTATGTCGAGAGCGGGTTTCGAACCACCAACCTTCAGATCAGCTCTGACCAACTGAGCTACTGCCACAAAGATACAAGAGCCACTCTTTTTTTCAGACATCAGGGACCTGAGGCTCTGTCCCCTAAAGTGCTGCTGCTCATGGCCTATTAGAAGAAACATTACCAAGCTCTAGTCCGGAGACAATCGAACAGAACAAATCCAGTTCTGCCACCTGTAGAGGAAATGGAATGGAATATAATCAATGAAAACCTGGAACCCAAACTGATGCAATCCCAAAAACCTGCAACTTGATGGTTACCTGCAGATGCAAGTACGACTGTAAGACAAGCAAATGCAGTTGTCACAGTGCAGGTCTGTTCTGTATAAGTGGCTGCAAATGTAGAAGTACGTCCAGATCAGCCATGCCAGAATGCTGCCAATGCAGACTAAAAATACAGCCATAATTAAAGTAATGTAGAACTTCTTTCTCTAAACTCCTTATCTCACATATTAAACACAACATAAAAGAGCACACACATTAAAGACAACATAAAATCCTGATGTGTGACTTTTTGTGATTTTTGCAGTGACTCCAAGGAAAATGGTTAATGGTTAGTGTCTCCTAGAGTTGGAGAAGAACTAAAAATGAACTAAAAATGCTGTAAATAAAAATTCTGTAAATAAATTAGATTTGTATTTGTTGGATTCATATCCATTCTTAGTTTGATTTTCCAGTTTAAGACTAATATTTTTTTTTCATATGTGATTTGCTTTGTCACCTTTATCCCATTTAGAAATAAAAAAAAAGTTGTTGGGTGGTGGAAGGAATTCTTTGAGGATCTCCTCAATCCCACCATCACGTCTTCCGAGGAGGAAGTAAAGGCTGAGGGGGGGCTCGTCCATCACCCTGGCTGAAGTCACTGAGGTTTTTGCCAATCTCCGGAGGTGGATGATCCGTCCTGAGTATTTTAAGTCTCTGGATGTTGTGGGTCTGTCAGGGACAGTACCTCTGCACTGGCAGACCGAGGTGGGGGTCCCTCTGTTTAAGAAGGGGGACCGGAGGGTCGGTTCCAACTCCAGGGGAATCACACTCCTCATCCTCCCTGATAAGGTCTATGCCGGGGACTGAAGAGGAGAATCCGGCCAACAGTTGAACCTTGGATCTAGGAGGAGCAGTGTGGTTTTCATCCTGGCCGTGGAACACTGGTCCTCTACACGTGTCTGATGTTGTCCTGATGGCTTCATCAGACCAGGACCTGCAGCACTGGGGCAGTTTGCAGCCGAGTGTGAAGCGACTAGGATGAAGATCAGCTCTTCCAAATCTGAGGCCGCAGCTCTCGACCGGAAAAAGGTGGCTTAAGCTCCCCAGGTGGAAAGTCCCTGCCTCAAGTGGAGGAGTTCAAATATCTTGGGGTCTTGTTCACGAGTGAGGGGAGGATGGAGCGTGAGATTGACAGGTGGATTGGTCGACAGTGATGCGGTCGCTGTATCGGACCGTTGTGGTGAAGAGGGAGCTGAGCCGAAAGGCAAAGCTCTCAGTTTACTGTCAGTCTATGTTCCTCCCCTCACCTATGGTCATGAGCTCTGGGTAATGACCAAAAGGACAAGATCGTGGATACAAGTGATCGGAATGAGTTTCCTCTGCAGGGTGGCGCTCCCTTAGAGATAGGGTGAGGAGCTCAGTCACACGGGAGGAGCTCGGAGTAGAGCCGCTGCTCCTCCACGTGGAGAGGAGCAGCTGAGGGGAGGGCATTTGTTCCGGATGCCTCCTGGATGCCTCCTTTGGGAGGTGTTCCAGGCCCGTCCCAATGGGGTGCTGGCCTGGGAACGCCTCAGGGTCGCCCTGGAGAAGCTGGAGGAAGTTTCTGGGGTGAAGGAAGTCTGGGGAGTCCTTACTTAGACTGCTGCCCCCGCGGAAGAACATGGATGGTTGGATGGATGGATAATATACTCATAAATTATATATATCATTAATATGCAAATGAGAAGGCTTAGAACTCAAAATCCAGCTTGGTAAACAAAATATTCTGAATCAACACCCTCAAATTATGAAAAAAAAAAATGGTTTTACCGACTTTTCCTAAAATTTGCCGTCAGGATTTCTTTTCTGTGAAAATATTCTAATCCCTGAGCTGCAGTCAGGAATGGCTGCAGGTGCTGGGATTTAGGTCGTGAATGACCCTTCAGATCAGATAGAGTCCTGTAAACTAACTGTTGTGACTATTCAAATGATAAACCTTTAGAGGTAATGCGCTATGATGTATCCTCAGGTGAGGCCCCCCCCTGCTGGTCCGGTGGTCCCGAAGGAATGAGGCGCAGCGGCTCCTTCACCAAACTGCGTGAGTCCCTGAGACGCAGCAGTGAAAAACTGGTGCGCAAGCTAAAGGGTGGGGCCAATAAAGAGCCACACCCCCACAGTGCTGGGTAAGCAGGCACCTGAGCTACGTACACATTGTGTGAAAGGATTCGTCAGAGTAGATTAAAGGTCCTGTATTAGCCATGTTGCCATGCTGTTACCTCATCAAAACATACCTGGAGACTGACTGTTGTTAATTCTAATGCTAAAGCCTAGAGTGACTCAAACACTGACTTTGGAGACCCTGCAGAGGCTAAAACTCTAATATTGACAAAGAGAAAACGTGAGCAGTGGAAGCAGCAATAACTTACAGTTTGAGCTGTAAATATTATAAAAGCCTCCTTAAATAGTCTTAAAGAGGGGGTATTTTTTTCCTGTGGTACTGTATGACAGAACAGGACAGAAATGACGAGCTTGAGTGGTATCAGAACAAGGGCACATAGACTCGTATACACCCATGGACCATTATGGGACCTACCTGGACCACAGTGGGATTGCACAAATACAGTATAAAGCCACAGGGTCTAAACAAAAACACTACCATTTAATGTTGAAAATCACTTTCTATTGTCTAAAGAAAGATTATCATTGTTATATATTGGAATTCCATTGTATTAGAATCAGTAATGAGTCTCGAGTCTGTTTCTTAGCATCCTAATCGAGTTTGAAATAATAGATTGAATCTTGAACAATGGGGTGTCTCTCCACAGGATGAAGAGGGCCAGGTCCCTGAATGTGCTAAGTGTGGAGACGGGGGACCAGAAGCAGGTAATGCACATGCCATTACTGTTATGGCCTTAAGGTGGGGCTGTGCAAGCAAGAGAATTTTAATGAAGTTGGAGCTTTCAATGGACAATGATCTGCATGGGTCTTTTTAATGGAGAGGTCTACAGCCAGTCCCCCAGAAACTATTAAACTGCCTCTAGTCTTAATTCTAAAGGGTCCACATTACACTATGTGATGAGGAAAGAACATTATAACATTGACCAAAACAGACCTGGAGTTGTGTATTATTTTTCACACATGTTTAACACACAAAGCCTGCATATTTAGGCTCAATTCTCCTTTCAGACAGTTTGTTCCACCTTGTGATGTCATGTAATAATACAAGTGTTCCATTGTGTTTTACACCCAATGCCCCATTATCCAAATTATTATGATTCATTAGAATCATCTGGACTATCATCTGTACTACACAAAATATAGGTCATAGTTAACTTGAAAACTACTACTAATAAATAAATTTAAAAAAAAAAAAAAATTATATATATATATATATATATATATATATATATATATATATAAAACTATATAAATAACTGCATTTCCTCTTTTGATCTAAGAGTTTGCTGCAGCAAGACTTGCTTTATTGATCCCAAGGGAAATTCATCTCTCTCCCTCTGTTGTCCTTTTGTTCAAAGCGCTGGAGCACAGCAGACGGGATGGGCTCCAATACACATGGGACCAGGCGCGGCTCCTACAGTGGGACCAACTAACCCTGGATCCTAGGTCCAGTCCTACAGTGGGACCAACTAACCCTGGGTCCCAGGCCCCTGTACCTGGACTGAACTGTGAGTGTGGTACAGGCTTTACCATGTTGTTTAACCTTCATTTGGGTCTGAAGAAGTTTGGCCTCTATGCACAGTAGCAGAGGAGAGCTGTGTCAGTGATTCCACATATGACCACACCTTCTTGACCACAGCGCACCTGGTTTACAGAATTTGTTTACCTGTATTTACTTCCACATCGCCTTTTCCCTGTGTATTCTGGCTGGCTCCTTTACCTTTTATGGTCACAAAGGGATCACAGCCCCCCCATGATCTCGTGTAGACACAGAGCTGATGAACATTCCCTGGACATCAGATGTGAAATCTGATTTTATCAGATTATTTAGGGATTATTTTAGGGATCTTGTTTGCACTTGCACTGGACTGTTACAGTTTTTAATTGTATTTATTCATACTAGAAGGAGGCGGGTAAACCTCTGTTACATTTGTGTGAATAACTTCTAAAAAAATGTACTTGAGTACTGTTACAAAACTTGTGGTTCCTATTTCCACTGTAAGTCTACAAGTGACAAAAGCTTTATGTTAACAATATTTTCATATTGTATTAGTTTGTCTCATTTTTGTGTGTCTGTCCTTTGAAAATACCTGATTGTGTGCATTATTTGATGTTACATTACAATTTACTTGAGTAACATTATTTTTAAGTAATACAAATACTACTTAATGTAGTACTTAATGTAGCATTTGTATTCTTACACCATATTTTACACCTACCTGAGTAATATTTGAGTTGTTACTTTGAAATCACATTTCATGTTTTTCCTGCTCCTTCAGATATGATTTCATGTATCCATGTATCATTCTGTCCAGATTTTGTGCATTTAATTATCCAAATATTTCTTTATTCTTACGTGTTAAGTGTTTTTGGGTCCCACCTCTGATAGCTCTGTTTCA